CCTGCCTCTGCCTACAGAGTGCTGGAAAGCCTGACCTACTTCTTTTTTTTTTTTTTTAGATTTTATTTATTAGCCGGGCCTTGGTGGTGTACGCCTTTAATCCTAGCACTCGGGAGGCAGAGGCAGATCTCTGTGAGTTCGAGACCAGCCTGGTCCACAGAGTGAGTGCCAGGATAGGCTCCAAAGCTACACAGAGAAACCCTGTCTCGAAAAACAACAACAAAAACAAAAACAAAAACAAAAAACAAAAAATAAAGACTTTATTTATTTATTATGTATACAACATTCTGCTTCCATGTATATCTGCACACCAGAAGAGGGCACCAGATCTCTTAACAGATGGTTGTGAGTGACCATGTGGTTGCTGGGAATTGAACTCAGGATCTCTGGAAGAGCAGTCAGTGCTCTTAACCTCTGAGCCATCTCTCCAGCCCCCCTGACCTACTCTTAATAATTTGGAATTGCTAAATACATCAGCACACAGTGCCAACACTGCCATCAGTTGGTTCAGGGATACCCCTTTCCTTTTCCGTTTTCCTGATGGCAGTTTTATGTTCTTCACACCAAGGAAAGAGGTGAGGGTGTGTCTTGTGCTCACTGAAGGTTATGGAGGTGGAGAAGAAGTGTTCATTAGATAAATAAGGTCATGGGCTAAAAACCTAAAATGCCATCTGTGTGATGGGCAGAATGTCACCAGCCCAGGAGCAGGACCCCTCCTGGAGATAAAGCTAGCTCGCGCCATTGTCACATATGTGCTATCTGCTCTAACGGCAAGCTGAGTCCATTGGGATTTAAAGGCCTGGCCAGGGAAAATGCTCTTCAGAAACCCAATGGGATGAAGCAGTCACAAGGACCAGCACTAAGAAGATGAGGCCTGTCCAGAGGAGGCCCTGGCGAGGGCTGCTCTTTCATTAAATACAGCGGCTAGGGTCATCCTTCAGAAACAAACAGCTGGGCCAATCCATAGAGAGAGGGCTTGGCAGCTTTCTCTACAAATGAGCCATACAAGCTGTCACCGAAGGAAAGACTGGCATGATGGGACCACTCTCAGCAGGAGGCCTGGAAGAGAAAGCTGTGGTCCAGGTAGCCACAGAGGAAGCCCAGGTATGCAGTATGTAACCATACGACACTGTCGCCACTCAGCAGCAGACCCTGAATTCACACATACAGCCCTGGCTCACCACTCTGCTTGGGGCTTCAGGGCAGTGGAGGGACAGTAACTCAAGAGCAAAGCTGAGGCCACAGAGGGCATCAGGGCCAAGCGTCACGACAGCCAGAGCTGCCCTCCGTCCCTCTGCTGAATCAGCCTAGTGACTGGTTTGACATCCCAGGTCCTTGCTGCACTGTAGGAACTTTGTTCCAAACAAACGTCCTTTATTGGATGGCCATCCCTGTGTGAGGCCAGAGCTCAGCCCGAGCAGCGTAGGCCAACCCCCCCTGACAGCCCTCCCCCGGGAAGGAGCGGGAGGTGAGCCTTTTACCTAGAGAGGAAGCTCAGCCCAGTCAACCAGCCCTTCGCCCTCAGTCAGGAGCTGCTTCTCAGGTACAGACATAGACTAGAGGCAGCAGCCAGGTCATGCCCAGGCTCCTCCCTCTTCTACAAGTTCAGGCCAGACTCAGGCACAGTCCTGGTCCCCAAAGCACTTGACTCCTCTCCTGGTCTGACATTAAGAATGCCTAGCAGGGGGCTGGAGAGATGGCTCAGAGGTTAGGAGCACTGGTTGCTCTTCCAGAGGGCCTAAGTTCAATTCCCAGCAACCACATGGTGGCTCACAACCATCTGTTATGAGATCGGTGCCCTCTTCTGGTGTGCAGATATACATGGAAGCAGAATGTTGTATACAAAATAAATAAATAAAATTAAAAAAAAAAAAAAAGAATGCCTAGTGGGGCTGGGCGTTGGTGGAGCACGCCTTTATTCCCAGCACTCAGGAGGCAGAGGCAGGCTGATCTCTGTGAGTTCAAGCCCAGCCTGGTCTCCAGAGTTACACAGAGAAACCCCGTCTCAAAAAAACCAAAAAAAAAAAAAAAAGAATGCCTAGTGGATAGCATTTGGGTGGCAAAGGTCCACCTTGGCCTCTCATGGTCACCCAGTTTCCACAAGGCCCCAGTAGCTCGAAACCCTCCCACTGGTCCACCCACCAGAAGAACCTAAAGAAACCTAAAGGCAGTGGAGCAGGAGGGGCAGGGCCTGATGTCAGAAGAGTGTGGGTTTGCCCCAGGGTAGCTGGCTAGGCTTGTGAGGCACAGCCCCCTGCCCACAGGGTGACCATGGATATGAGATAGATGCTCCTGTGAGAAGCTATACCCAGAGACCAGATGCCACCCCCAAAGGGCCGGGGGCCCCCACACTCACCAACGCCTTTTTTCTGGGCTCAGTGCCCGTGGCCACAGACACAGAGCGGACAATGGACTTGGTGGCGGAAGCACTGCTGGGACGCTGAGACATGGGTGGAGGGAGGCCAACTAAACTCAAGTCCACACCTTCTGGACTGCCTTCCGGAGCAGCACTGATGGTCCTCGAACCTTTCATGCTGGGCCAGGCCAGCCCTGAGAAAGAAATGAGAGACACAATCAGACGCCATGGTAGGGGCTAGGGACATGGATTGGTCTAATCGCCAGCATGGCATTGGGCCAGCACGGCAGTGTGTGTATGTAACCCCGGTGCTCAGAAGGTGGAGGCAGGAGGGCCAGAAATTGAAGACCATTCTCAGATATATAGTGAATTCAATTCAAAGCCATCCTGGGCTACACGAGACCTTGTCTAAGGACGATGGGGATGGAGCTTAGAGAGGTGACCTGGGACTTACGAGAGCTTGCTGCTCTTCTAGAGGCACAGAACTTGGTTCCCAGTTCCCATATCCTTGGTTCACAACTGCCTGTAACTCCAGCACCAGGGGATTTGACACCCATACATAAATTAAAATAAATACTTTTCCCCCCAAGACAGAGTTTCTCTGTGTAGCCTTGGCTGTCCTAGAACTCATTCTATAGATCAGTCTGGCTTAGGAACTCACAGAGATCCACCTGCTTCTCAAGTGCTGGGATTAAAGGTGTCCGCCATCACTGCCCAGCCTCATGATTTTTTTTTTTTTTTAAGAGACAAAAAAGACAAGAAACCATGGAAGAATCTCAAGCCTCACACTTGCCCTGGACATCTGGGTCTACCTGCCACCTAACTCAGAAGCCACAATTAGGGATGGGAGCTTAATCAGGAGCATGACAAGACAAGGCCACTCTGAATGCTACACAAGGCTCTGAATGGTGAGAAGTGAGCACCTGAGGCATGGCCTGGTGGGCACAGGGGTGGCAGCAGCAGGCTGTGGTGGGTGAGCCCAGCCCTGCCGCTTACCCCAGTCCTAGCCCTCGGTCAAGGTACTCTACCAGTTCTGGACGGTCTCTGCATTTAAAAAAGTGCGTCTTTCTGGGCTATCCTGAGGTTAAAATGTGACTTTGAGGTTGGACCTTGGTGATCCCTCAACAGCTTTCATCTACTCCAGCATCACCTCAGAACAGAGCTCACGGTTGTACTGTGGCCTCTCTCTGGTCCAGCCATTGGGTTCCCACCGTGCACATGTACAGCAGCCCTACTTGGCCAGGGCTCGATCTCAAATCACTCACCGAATCCTTCCAAACTGCTCTCTGCTCACTTCACACCCTGGGGAAAATGCCTTCTTTTTTTTGTTTTGTTTTTGATTTTCGAGACAGGGTTTCTCTGTGGCTTTGGAGGCTGTCCTGGAACTAGCTCTTGTAGACCAGACTGGAATGCCTTCTTAAGACAGAATAAATCTGAACACCTGACAGGCCCAGCTCTGACCCTGTCCTCTGCAACCACTCCACTTTGTATTAACCAAACCTGCCTTCCTGCTGTTCCCCAAATGTAGGCAGTGCACCCCAACACACCTCTGCACCTGCAAAATCCCCCTGCCTCCACACTGTCCATCAGGACAGGGACCCTGCAGTCTCAGCCGCTGGCATGTGGAAGACACTAAATTTAGCGTTGAGTACTGAGGAGAGAGAGATGGACAGAGGGCACATGGTAAGTGATTACAATCCCCTTGCTGAGTCCAAGGAGCCAAGCGCATACACTCACCATGGTCCAAAGTGATGCTGCCTTGGTGTGTGTGGTGGGGGGCGGTGTCTGCTCTGCCATCAGTCAGGCCAGGTCCTCACTTACACATTTCTCACTGTGTGGGTGAAACCTAACACCTTCCCCTTCTTGGCACTGGCCACACCCGGGTGGACTCTGGCTGGCTCCTGAGCTGATGGACATGGCTTTCCCTGCCCCACGTGCAGTCAGTGAGGTAAACATAGCTTCTCCATGGAAACCTCCAAGCCAGAAGAGGGGAGGAGGATGGGGAGGCCAACCTCACCCTGGACAAAACCGGGCCACAAGCTCGCAGGACCCGGAGGGGCAGGAGCCTGCTCCTAGGCCCTGGGGTGGCGGGGGAGCTGACTGGGAGAAGCAGGGCCCTTGAGCAGTGCAGTGCGGCGCCCCCGCGGGCGACCCGCCTCTCCCAGGCCTCTCGGGACTTCAGGCAGGGGTTCCGGGCCGCCCGAATGGGCCCCACGCCGATCTCCCGGGGCGAGGGGTAGGTACCGGGCACAGGCCGTCCTCGCTGCAGGGCCCGACCCCTCACCCTGCGATGCCCCTCACCTGCGCGGGCCCGGCCTGGGGCGCAGGGCCCGTGGGCTCGGCCTGGCGGGCACGACTGCAGAGCCACCCGGGGCCCCACGGGGCTGCCCTCGGCCGTGGGTGACAATAAAGAGCCGTCCGCAGGGGCGAGCGGCGGCGGCTAGCAACCAACCAGGCGCCTCCTCCGCTGTCCGTCACGCCGGCCCGCCTTTGCAACGCGCGCCGCCCAGGGATTGGCTCTCCGGACGCCCTCGGGTCGTCCGGCAGCTCATTGGGCCGCGAGCCTGTCCTGCAAGTTCCGGCGTGGGAGGAGCTGCGCGAGCAAGGTGGAGGGGCGGGGCTCCGGAGGCGGAGTCTGGTGGAGGGGCGGGGCCGCGGCAGGAGGAGGAGCCTGCGGGCCTCTGCGCCTTCTGCCGCTGGGCTTCTGGTCCGCTCACCCTGGGCTCCCGCCCAGGCCTGACCCGACCACGAGGTGCTGTCCGCGCCGCCTCTTCCCATTCTCTCCTAACTAACCGCATTGAAGAAGCTTGGATGAATCCACTCGCTGCTTGGTGCACAGTTGTGGGCTCTCCTCCCTTTTCCCAAAGGGCTCGGGCCCCGAATCTGAGCTGCCTAGTCCCTCAGAAGTTACCTTTATAAACTCAGATGCTTAAAAAAATTATGCGCGGATATTTATTAATTTGTGTGTGTGTGCGCGTGTGTTTGGGATGGTGGCCCGGGGCTTGCACAAGCTAAACAAGGGCTCTGCCACTGAACCTCAGCCGTTTTTGTTTTAAGAAAGGGTCTCAGGAGGTGGTGGCGCACACGTCTTTAATTCCAGCAGAGAAAGAGGAGACGAGTTCGAGGCCATCCAGGTCCACAGAGCGAGTCCCAGGACAGCCAGGATTACACAGAGAAACTGTCTCGAAAAACAAGCAAACCAAAAGGGTCTCATCTAGGCCAGCCTGGAATTACAGGCAAAGTGCCACCACCTGGCCTCCCCCCGCTTTTTTGTTTTGTTTTGGTTCTTTTGTTGTTGTTGTTTGTTTTGTTTTCTGAGACAGGGTTTCTCTGTGGCTTTGGAGGCTGTCTGGAACTAGCTCTTGTAGACCAGGCTGGTCTCAAACTCACAGAGATCTGTCTGCCTCTGCCTCCTGAGTGCTGGGATTGAAGGCGTGCGCCACCACTGCCCGCCTCCCTCCCCTTTTTAAGATTTATTGTGTGTATGTGTTTTGCCTGCATGTATGTCTGTGCACCATGTGGAGGGGGCTGGATCCTGGAACTGGAGTTAACGGATGGTTGCAGGATGCTACATGGGTGCTGGGAACCAAAACCTGGGTCCTATGCAAGAACAGTACGTGCTTTTAAACACTGACGGCTTTTCCTCTTAATTGACAGAAAGCTTTGATTATACATATTGAAAGTCACATCCTTTTGTGGGTCACTCAGATGGGGTCGCTATTCCACCTCCATGCACACCCCTGTGGAGGCTCAGTCAGGTCCCTGAGGCACATAGTGTCTTCCTGTGGCCCCACTGGGAAGCCCCGGGCTTCACCCTGTTGTCCCTCTCCTCAGTATTCTAGCCTGTGGGAACATGTTACCTAACTTATCTTTAGAATGACCCAGGGTCTGAGTAGATGTTTGAGTAGATGTGATGGAAGCAGCTGTAGACACTGACTTTTGTGTAAACATAGCTTTCCACTTGTCTGCTGTAAATTCCTACGACAGAAATCAGGGTTATTTCAGAAACCGCCAAGATGTTTTCCAGACACTGCGTGGCCAGTGTCATGTAAAATCCAGATGGTGTGTGTCTCCTCAGCACTTGATGTCTTGTTCCTTTAGTCAGGTTAATAGACGAGTAGGAGTAGTTGCGTTTACCTGCTCAGATGGGGGAGTTTGATGTGTGTGCTTATATCTGCCACACACTCACCAGACTCCTTCATGTCTGTCCAGATCTTTTATACACTTTGTAATCTGGGTGGTTTTCTAGTTTTGAGTTTTAAACTGTATGTACACATGAGAGCACACTCATGTCATGGTATACATGCAGAGAGGCGTCTTAGTCTGGGTTCTCTGGAGTCACAGAACTTATGGAATGAATGCCCCCATATATATATATAAATATATATATATATATATATATATATATTATACACACACATCTATATGTGATTTATTGGAATAATTTACAGGCTGCAGTCCACCTAATCTAAGTATGCTGCCTATGAATAGAAGGTACGAGTCTAGTCGTTGCTCGGTGCCACGAGGCTGGGTGGGACTCAGCTGGTTTTTTGTATAGGCTGGAGTCCTGAAGAGGGAGGAGCCAGTGACAGTGAAGGAATGGATGTCTAACGAGGACAAGCAGGCAAAAATCAAAAGCTTCCTTCTTCTATATCCTTTTGTAGACTTCCAGCAGAAGATGTGGCCCCAATTGAAGGCCTGTGTCTTCTAGCCTTAAGATAAAGGCTATGCCTTCCCTACCTCAAGATCAGGAATAAAGGTCTGCGTTTTCCTACCTCAAAGGTCTGGACTAGATGTGGATTCAAACACTTCAAGCAGAAAATCTCTCACAGGTATGCCCTCCACTATTCTGGATTGTAGTTTATTCCAGATATGGTCAAGTTGACAACCAAGAGTAGCCACAAAAAGTCAAAGGATAACCTTCTTGCACCAATTTTTTTCTCCCACGTGGGTCCCAAGGATTGAACTCTGCTTGTCAGGCTGTGTGGGGGGCAAGTACCTTTACCAGCCTAGCCATCTTCCTGGTCTTTGTGTGTGTGTGGTTTTTTTGTTTGTTTGTTTGTTTTTTGTTTTTTCGAGACAGGGTTTCTCTGTGTAGCTTTGGAGCCTGTCCTGGCACTCGCTCTGGGGACCAGGCTGGCCTCGAACTCACAGAGATCCACCTGCCTCTGCCTCCTGAGTGCTGGGATTAAAGGCATGTGCCACCAACACCCGGCTTCTTTATGTGTTCTTGACAAGGTTTTCACATTAGTCTGCACGAGACATTCAACCTAAAAATACTGTCTCTCTGTCTTTGGCTCATCTTTCCATTCCCTTAACTATAACATTCAAAGCTTTCCCCCTTTGATAAAGATTTTTTTTTTCTTTTCCTCCACAGTATTTTACTATGCAGCCCTAGCTGGCCTAGAACTCTTTATGTAGAGCAGGCTAGCTTCAAGTTCACCTAGAGCCATCTCTCTGCCTCCTGAGAGCTGGAATTAAAGGAGCACACCACCACACCTACGTGTTTGATACTTAGGCTATGGTTCACTTTAAATTTCTGTATAAAGTCTGAGGTACAGGCCAAGATGTTTTAAGTCTGTTTTTACACATCAGTAGCCCCAGGACCATCACTGGAGGGTACGACCTCCTCACTAAACTACTCCTGTAGGTGCCAAAAACCACTTGACTAGAAGTGTGGCTGGTTGTGCTGGCACACATAAAACCCCAGGTCCTACCCCCAGGATATGGATGCTGTTGTGGACCTTATTTGTGCAGCTCTGTCATCTTAACTTGTTTAAGACTTCCCCAATACCAGTCTTGGTGAGCATAGCTGCAGTGAGACCCTAGCAAAATCAAGTCTGCTACCATTCCCTCACAGGAGGGGAGGGATCTCAGGTGTCACGCCCCCCATATGTCATCAACAGTTATTAGGAAAAAGGACACTCCAGTGGTACAGCTGCCATGAGCCTTCCCCTGCCCCTGCGACCCCAACAGAACCCTGATTCACTAGCTGAACCTATGTGAAAATGTTTCTGTTCCCAGGGTCAACAAGAAGACTCCCAGGAAGACACACTGTAGGAGCTGGAAGACGTAACAGGGGCTGGAGAGATAGCTTAGAGGTTATGAGCACTGGCTGCTCTTCCAGGGGATATGATCTCAATTCCCAGCACCTACATGTCAGCTCACAACCATCTGTAACTCCGGTTCTAGGGGATCTGATTCCCTCACATGAACACATCTGCAGGCAAAAACACCAATGCACATAAAATATTTCCTGTAAGCTTTGGTGTCAGCTCATCACTACATAAAAACTTAAGCTGGGACTACAGCTCAGTGATACCGTGTGCACTTGCCTAATACACACAAGGTCCTGCGTCTGACCCTGAGACCCTGGTGGGGTTTAGGACAACACCTCAGAACATGTTACCTCACCAGCCAAGTTCACTGCTCACCCTGGAGTGCTGTCACCACAACTTCCTTTCAGAATATCTTTCTAGCCCCTTGAGGATGAGGGCAAAGAGCACCACTGAGTAGTTCCACTGAACACTTAAGGAGAAAGCATCTGTTCTACTAGAAGTCCTTGAAGTGTGGCCCTGATGAATAAAAACCAGCCAGAGTGGCTGGAGAGATGGCTCAGAGGTTAAGAGCACCGAGTGATCTTCCAGAGGTCCTGAGTTCAATTCCCAGCAACCACATGGTGGCTTCCAACCATCCGCTATGAGATCTGGTGCCCTCTTCTGGTGTGCAGATAGACATGGAAGCAGAATGTTGTATACATAATAAATAAATAAAATCTTTAAAAACAAAACAAAACAAAACAAAACAAAAAAACAGCCAGAGGAGCGCAGGCTGTGTAAACATTGGTTTTATTGGGAGAGTGCATGTCGCAGCTCCACAGGCTCTTCTGGGATAGACAGGCAGGTTCACTAGGCTCCCATGGTCACAGAAAACACCTGGGACAAGCTGAGCATCCAGGGAAGGGTCCTACAGGACCTGACACTAGAAATGGCCACAGGCACAACCCCCCAGTGACCCAACCTGAAGGCTGTGGCTCCCAGCTGCTGAGACTTCCCTCTGGAAGGAACCAAGACCAGAACCTTAACTAAGAACCAGGTCAGTGCTTCCAACCCATACACGCGCTCACTTCTGAGGGTCAGGAAGGCAGGGCCTGCCCAGCGTGCCCAAGCTCAGCACCACAGCCCTGCTACTGCTAGTTGCTACCATAGGAATTCAAGTCCATATAACCATTGCCAGCACCAAGCAAAGGGACGGGAACTGAGGTAGCCCGTGTGTGTGTGTGTGTGTGTGTGTGTGTGTGTGTGTGTGTGTTCTTCAGTTTTATAGGCAGAACGAACAGTATCTGAAGTTTAGTTTTTACGCTAATAAATGTGCTGGGTTGGAGGGGCACTTTTTCTTCCAAGGTGAACATGAAACAATCTACATTGGTTGTGGAGAGAGAGAGAGAGAGAGAGAGAGAGAGAGAGAGAGAGAGAGAGAGAGTATGGCCTCTGTGTTCAGCGTCCTAGAGTCAGAGCAGCATGGGGTGGAGGAGCCGTGGCCAACAGCCCTGGGGAAGCACTGCCCTGTCTGTACTACATGAAGCAGGAAGCCTCTGAGGTGGCCCCAAGCCATGGGCAGACAGACCTCCAAAAAGGTTTGTGTGGGTCTTGCCAGGAGGAAGAAGGAACCAATCTCAGGGGCAGGGCCAGAGAGTCAACTTCCCAAGAAGCAATGGGTGTGCAGACACCTTCTGAGGCACCGCTGACCCTCCTTTACACACTCCCACCTTGGCTGCTCACCACTGAGGGCCCAATGCCATCTTCTGTGACTCGTCTGACCACTGGAGGCCCACACAGGGCTCCGCTGGCTCAGAGACTGCCTCACCACAGCTTCTTGGGTGAAAGAGAGGGGCCAGAGGACACATAAGGACCACTCCTTGGTGGACATGAGGCCATGAGTACCTGAGGGCCTCAATATGAGGACCAGGGGACTCTGAACAGCTGGGCCCAGAGAGTCACATGTTTAAAAATGCAAAAGCTGATGGCTCTGAAACAGAAGGTTTTGTGGTCACCTTCTGTGAACCTGGCTGGAGATCCTGGGAGCTGGGGCAGGGCAGGCTGGGGCAAGCCACCAGCTCCATTCCCTCAAACAAAGAGTTGGAGCTCCACAGGCATGGTCTGGAGCTGTCCTCGGGGGTGTCTGTGTTCTCCGGGCTCTGCTCAAAGCCTGTCCCCTGTTCACTAGAACATACCAGGTGGGTTTTGACCTCACTGGCATCCTCCAGAGTAGGAGGAACAGTATCTGGCAATGGAGCAGGCACAGGGTCCCTGGGCACCACGGTGGTGGAGCTAAGAGGCTGGAGGAAGACCTGGCTCCCAGGGGGTGGCACAGGGCTGGTCAGCAGATCGGCTGGACCCACAAGGGCAGCTGCAGAGCTGGGCAAGGCACTGGGCCTTAGGGCAGGGATCTGCTGTCCACAGGAGGCTTCAAAGTGTCTTAGGATCTAGAGGAAAAAAGGAAGTAGATGGGAGGGGTGTGAGGGAGATGCCCAGGGACACGGGTGAGACCCTGAGACATGACAGGGGAGAACTGCAGCCAAGGGAAAGTTTCTGGAGAAGGTAGTGTGTGTAGGAGCCAGACACAGAAACAGTATGCGTAGGAGGGGGGTCCAGGCAGGGGAAGAGGCCAAGGCACCCACAGTGCCAGAGCCCAAGGGAGGTGGGCACCACCCACTAACCAGGGCTGTAGCAATCACGGCCAGCTAGAGGAGCACTGCCAGGGGAGTGAATGGTAAGACGGACTCTGCTGTTCCCAGGGCCCACTGCCCACCTTGGTAGCTTTGTTGGTCACAGGTCCAGGGTTGCCTGCACCAAGTTCCTGCAGCTGTGGCCGGCAGAGGTGGAGGACATGCTCCTGAGGCAGAAGGTCGGCAGCTCCAAAGGAGGCAATGGCACACAGCGCCCTCTGTGAGCGGGAAGCGGGGGGCTGGAAGTCAGCTCTCCATGGCTCCTCACTTAGGGTGGTGAAGGCCACACAGGAGGCCTGTGTGTGGCCCCACCGTACTCTAACTGCCCTCTCCCCACCTCACAGCCAACGCCGGCTCCCTCACACTCATCCTCACCATCTGCTCTCCCTCACTGGTCCCGACCAGCTGGTGGAGGAGCAGCTCCAGCACAGCCTCACAGTTGAGCAGCCCACACCTGCACAGGGAAGGGACACAGGGCAGGGATTGGGGGCAGCCACAGCCGGTCCCCTCCTCCCTCAGGGGGCAGGCGCCGGTGGGTAGCTCACTCTTTGATGAAGTGCTGGGTCTCCTCGCGGCTCAGGAAGACACGTGACCCCTGTGTTATGGTTCTTACTAGGCTCAGCTCTTGCTGGCAGTCATTTGGGGCCATGCCCTCAGCCCTGGAAAAAGCAAAATGACATGGCCAAGTCAGGATGTCAAGGTCTCAGGTAGATGGGTGGGACAATACCCCGTAAGCTCCCACACTGGAGAAGGGTAAGGCCTGGAGGTTAGAGAGCCTGTTGACAGCCCCTTTGGGAGAGGTGGTGTGGTGGTTTGAAAGAAAATGGCCCCCAAAGGAAGGGGAACTATTAGGTGTGGCCTTGATGGAGGAAGTGTGTCAGTGTGGTTTTGAGTTCTCATATGTGCTCAAGACACTACCCAGCATTTCAGATCCCTTCCTGTTGCCTGCAAGATGTAGGACTGACTCTCAGCTGCTTCTCCAGCATCAAGTCTGCCTGCACGCTGCCATGTCTCACCATGATGATAACCCCAACTAAATGTTTTCTTTATAAGAGTTGCCATGGGGGCTGGAGAGATGGCTCAGAGGTTAAGAGCACTGACTGCTCTTCCAGAGGTCCTGAGTTCAATTCCCAGCACCACATGGTGGCTCACAGCTATCCATTATGAGATCTGGTGCCCTCTTCTGGTGTGCAGATATACATGGAAGCAGCATGTTGTATACATAATAAATAAATAAAATAAAATAAAAAAAAAGAGTTGCCATGGTCACAGTGTCTCTTCACAGCAATAGAAACCCTAACTAAGACAGGGACCACCTATCCCACACACCTTTCTGTCAGGTCGCCTGTCTCATGGCTGGCCCCAGATTGGCTGTCGCTGCCAGACCGACTGCCTGAGTCGGAGGCCCTGCTCAGGTTGCTGGTGCAGGAGGAATTCTGGGAACTAGGACCACTGTCCAGCTCATCCCAGCCTCCTCCTGCCTGCCCAGGCTGGTGTCTCACAGCTGAAAGACAGAATAGCAGGCAAGGTCCTAGGACTTTCCATAGGCCTCACACCTTAGGGACACTGGGCTAGGAGACAAGAGGTTGAGTTCTGAGCTCACAGAGCAGCTCCGGAAACTCCAGACACACAAAATGGGTGAGTGCTTCCTGCCGGGTCTAGAAGCCTGGGGCTCCTGCCAGTCAGGGCAGCATCAACACTTGTCTCCATATCCATAGTATCCCATTGTAGGGGAAGCTGTAGCCACGCCTTCTTTGGGGCTGGCTACAGGTGTGCCTGACCACGCTTGTGAGGGCGTGGTCAGTGTGACTGCGTTTTCGCTTTCAGTTTCTCTTTTTTGCTTCTTGTACAGGTTGCTGCCACCGGCTGGCTAGGTCTCCATATCCAAAGTGTCCCATTCCATGCCCCCACACTTGACACGAAGCAATGACTCAGATCTGCAAGAGTGGCAACCCTTGCCTCCATACCTCTGGCTCCAAGGATTAGATTCCCAGGGTTGGGGTGTGTGTGGATAGCTGAAGGTGTCACCGCAGGCTGATAGGCATCACGGTGTGGCAAGAGTCCCTGGGTACTGGGATTCTCAGGTCCAGGACGTACAGCATTAGCCACCACCTCTGCAGCCTTCTGGATCGTAGAGAGGAAGGCTTCGCCTGCAGAGCCTGAACACAGAAGAGGTGGCATCAGTAGAAGAGGTGGTGCCAGCACCCTTTTGAGCCCACGTCCCCTACCTCCAGCCACACTCTCCAGGACAAGACCAGGGCTGCCGCCTGCTCAGATCTAGGGAGGTACAGACAGGGTTACAGGTAGCAGAATTGCGACCATAAATCCCAGGCATTGTGGTCTGGACACTTAGCTTATAGCAGCTGAGGACAAGGGATGTTCTAGGGGGTTGTGGCAAGTGAAAATGTCCTTGGTTGTTCACTCTAGTGTCAGGGACCCACCCCTGCCTTTGAAGAAGGGACTTCCAAGTTAAGGTATCAGTCAGAGGCCTCAGAGCTGCAAAAAGGCCTGTTTGCAGCAAGTACAACACAGAGCTGGATACAGCCTGGCATTCTGCCCCAAGGATAGCTGAGGTTCTTGCTCCATTATGTGCCGTTGTATAGACTTCAACAAACAGACTTCAAGAGTCTGATGGCACAGGTAGCCACAGGCACTACACCGTTTCAACCTGTACAGATGACCCTCTACGTTCCTGTCACAGCCTGGACCCTTGCCCCTCAAGCAGCAAAAAAGGCCAACACAGCCAGCTGGACTAAGTCTACCTTCTCCTCCCCGTCCATCAAGCAGAGCTGGCCACTCCTGTCACACCTGCCTCCCAGCTGGGCAGAGTTAACAACACAGGGGAGCATACCAGGAAGGAAGGAGTCCACACGTGGTATAGCTGGGGGATAACTAAAGAGACGGGGTGAGGTCTGACCTGACCCTTTCATATCCCTAGTCAAGAGCCCTGTACCTTACCTGTCCGGCCCCACTCCTTAGAGTAGCCGAAGCCCTGGAGAGCACTGTGAGGTCTGGCCTGGGCGCCCATACCTGAAAGAGGGCACTGGCGTCAGTGTGGGCTTCCACCTAGACCAGCCCACATGCACAGAGACGTCGAGGACACCAAGAGGGACAACCTTGGTGGTTGGAGGTGGTCACCGGAGTGGCATACCTGCTGGAGGCAGGGCCTGGGGTGGCTGGGAGGGAGGCAGCGGCATGGCATCTGAGAACAAGGCGCTACCCAGATCCTAGATGAAGAAGTGGGTGCTCAGAGTCCCTCCCGAGCCTGCTGTTCTGCCCGTTCCCACCAGCTCTGCTCTGTTTCAGATGCCTCTCCTGAGCTGCCCAACCAGGCCCAGGGGCTGTGGCCCAGCAAGGAGGACAGAGCTGGGTCCTGCATGGCAGGAAAACACTTCACAGGCATTCTGCCACTCTGTGCTCTGACCCTGTCCTGGACTCACCTGGGCAGCTGCCCGCACCTTCTGGTACAAGCTGTTCCCATGAAGAGGGTCCGGGGGGCCTGCGAAAGCTGCAGGGCAAAAGTTATACAGGACAGGCTGAGCCTGGTCACTGCTTGTGACCCACCAAGTTAAAACCTAGCCCTCCCGAATGGTATATTCCCCAGGCCCTCCTCGGGACCCTGTAACATCCCCTCTTTTTTTGTTTTTGTTTTTGTTTTCTCGAGACAGGATTTCTCTTTGTATCTTTGGAGCCTATCCTGGCACTCGCTCTGTAGACCAGGCTGGCCTCGAACTCACAGAGATCCGCCTGCCTCTGCCTCCCGAGTGCTGGGATTAAAGGTGTGCGCTGCCAACGCCCGGCTTTAACATCCCCTCTTGACCACTCACAGTAGCAACTCCACCATCTACCTACTGCCAGAGACCACTCCCCCTCCCACACATACTGGAGTTATGACTGTTTCCTTGGGTCTATTCTCTCCCACCTACCTGCAACAGGAACCTTTTAGAGGTTTCTCAGGGCCTGGATGTAGACCTGGGGTCTCTATCAGAGCCTTTCAGGTATGATCTAGTCCCTGATTCCTAGACTGGTTTGGCCTGAGCTAATCCCCCTCTGCTAAAAAGCTTCCATCACGGAAAATCAGGTTTTCTTATATATTATGCCACCCCCAAGGTTTCCCTGGTTCAGGGCCTTGCACATACAGGTGAATACCACAGCACCCCTGTACACACCCACTCTGACTCATCCTTCCAGAGCCATTGCCCAGAGAATCCTTAGTGGGCATTTCCCAGCACCGATGCATTTCCATTCATAAGCCCAGACCAGTCAGAACCCCAAGCCCGCTTTCCCTGGGCACATCTGTGTCTTCCTATACCTGTGGCTTCCTGGATGAGGGCAGAGTTTCGTCTGAGGGTGAGCAGGAAGGAGGAAGAGCCATGACCACACAGGTAAAGCAAGATCTTCAGCACCTGGAGAGTGGACAGGTTCATGGGGCTGGCGGTTGTGGCACAGGCCACTCATTCAGCACAGCTGAGTGCCTGTCCTGTGTAGCCTGGCCGGTGCCTGCCCCTCGTTGGCGTCTGCCCCTCAGGGACGCACCTTGAGTTTCACGTGACCAGAGCTGCTGTCCAGACGGTTCAGCAGGTACTCCAGCAGGCACTGGCTGCTGCCCAGTGACTCGTGGGAAATTTCTGAGAGTCATTTAGGTTAGGGAAGGAGCAGGCAGATGCAGGACCCACTGGCGAGACAAACCCACTCTCCTGTGACCATGACCCTTCCTCAGGCCACACTCCCTGAAGTCCACTACCACAGGCTGTAGTTTCACCAACACTGGAACTTTTAGGGTGTCCTGGGCTCTACGCCACTGGTATTGCAGCTTCGGTGCACCCCGGCCACACATAAGTTGTTGGTGCTCCTGGCAGAGCAGAACACTTCCGGCTGCTATGTCAGGATCCCCACTGTTTACTCCCCCCCGACCACCACCAATGGGGACAGTGCAGAAGGATACTGGCAATCTCTTCAAACAGGTAGCCTGGACACGGGGTGTCATCGTCTGAGGTCCCCTTCAAGAGAATGGGAAGCTGAAGAAGAGGAATGAGGATCACGGTGAGCTGCCATGGTACACAGGGAAGGTCCCAGCCACCAAACGAAATGGAAGCAAGCCTCAAGCTCACTGGTGCAAAAAAAAAAAAAAAAAAAAAAAAAAAAAAAAAAAAACGCCCAGGAGAACGCCTAAGAGGCACCAGAACCACCTAGCAGTCACAAAGCATAGCTTTCAACAGGCTCTGTTCTGGCAGGAGCGAGGGGCCCCAGGAAAGAGGAAAACCAATGAGGACTCTCTAAGAAGGTCAAGATAAGGTTCAGCCCTAGCCTCTTAGGAATCGTAAGTGTAAGGATATTTTAAATACACCTACTTATCAAGCAGCCAATGGCAAGAACCTCAGGGTATTCCGTGTATTGGATGGGCGCGGTGCCGGACCCCAAAGAGCCACAACTGCTCAGCTTGGTGGGTTTCATGGCTCAAGAACCGCTAACTTAAATTTCACACGGTCGTGAGCCAGCACGGTCCCGTCTGCCTATGCCACCGGCTTGCCTGTCGCTGCAAGTGTATAGTGTTTATTTGGTTGAAATCTAGAAACACCCGTTTCTCATCACTCAGTATCTGGGCAAGCGGGCGGGTGGGGTTTGGGCATATTTGAGACAAGTCTACGGACACTGCTAGGGTCCCAGCCTCAGACATCTGACCTGTAGCATGACCCTGAAACACCCGACCAGGGTCCCTAGGGCCACTCGGGACCCCCAAGCCGCAGTCAGAAAGCCCAGGGCGCTCAGCAGGGGCAGCGGGCTCCGCCTCTCTGCCCGCAGCTACGGCCTTGAATTGAAGACGCCTCCCATCCCCTTGGGACGCTCCAGTTCCCGGGAAAGGACCCCTGGCCAGCCGGCCGGGCCCCGGGGGACAGCGCCCGCCGCCCTGGGGCTCAGCAGCTGCCGGGCCGCCCTGTCCCCGCTAATGTAGCGTCAGCCGACCCTGCGAGCTTCACTCACCCTGTGCAGGAAGCTCAAGCGGTCCCGTAGCGGCGGGGGGGCCGCCATGGTCCAAGGAGCCCCTCAGCCTGCCCCGCTTCCGCCAGGCTTCGCCCCTCCAATCATCGCGCGGCTCTGGCTACCCCCAGCCAATCGCCCGCAGGAAAGGGGGGAAGGATCCGAAAACATGGAGCGCCTTGGCCAATCCCAAGTCCCAGCGAGAGACGGACAAGGACTCAGACCAATTACAGAGGAGCACGCCAGCGACGCTGACCAACCAGGAGGCAGTGTGGGCGGAGCTGACGGATGTTTGCGTAGTCGACGCCGGAAGAGGCGGGACCCAACATGGCGGGCGCCCCCGGGGGCTCGGGGGGGCGGCCCCGGTCC